TCTCTATTCACATGACTGATTTTCATCATCTTTTAAAAAAATGAATTATAAAATAAAAATAAAAACAACATACATTGGATAACAATGTACACAACTATGTGGATAACTCAGGATTACGGTAAACTGATGTCATTGTTTCTGACTCAAAAACAACTATGCAACTACTATCAACAACTTCTATGTTGTTCAGTTTTTAATTGAATTTACATGATATTAAACCTGTTTAGTGGTAGCATTTTGTGGTAGCAGAGTAGGTAATTGCCGTTGTGCGTGGTTCTTTAATTTGATAGAATTGGTACTGGAAAGTCCTTCAATTTGATGTTGACCAAGGTGTGGGAACCCTGTTTTAATAAAGATCTAACTTAGCAGAAACGAGTTGAGGTTGCGTGATCCAGCTGCTTATTTTTTTCTCTCTCTCCTGCTCTTTGGGAAATCTGTCATTTTAGTCAGCAGAGTTCTAGCTCCGCCTCTTTGCTCTGTTGTAACAACTTATTGTATGAAAACGCTGTTCTGAACAAGACATTAATGCTTTTATCTTTGCTTTAAGAATAGTTCTGAGTTGAGTTCACATCTGTGTTGAAGTTTTGGTTATTAAAACTGACACCATTGAGGGGTCTGATCCAGAATGAAAGCGAGAGGGACAAGGTGTGTTTAAAGTGCATTGTCCTCATTGACACATGGTGGATGTTAATATGTTAAATACTAGCTGTTTTTTGTCTGAGCTAAATTACGTAGAGGTTAGTGAAGCTAACATTTTGGTTCATTGTACTGTTCACTGCTGTTTTTGACAGAATATCAGATATGTAATGATGTGATTTTTTTCTAATAATCACATATCTCTTGAACGCTGTAGAAACACAAGGCAGCAGAAATGTAACAATACATTTGTTTTGACCAAAACTATTTGATACAGATCTTTGATTCAGATCATTGGTTGACCTGATGGATAGAGCTCCATCAGAGCTAAACAACAAAAGAAATCTGAAGCTTCGGTGTTGAACAGTTTCTGAGTTGTCCAGACACCCCCTCTTTGAAAGGAGCCCCCTCCTCAAATATGGGGTCTATCTTAAAACCATTGGCTGGCGCAGTGTAGGTCAGACTCATCTACAGTCCTGCCAAATTTCATGRTGATTTGGTGCAGCTGTTTTTGTGGTACGGTTGACCAAGAATCTCCAGAGGAAAAAAAAACCAGTATGAAAACAATATGACTCCTGCTTACTAGGAATGCGCGATATAAACGATATACGGTAGAAACGATATAAATTTGTCCTATGATAAGAGATCTGTAGTCTACCGGCCAACCGCGCAGTTCTTTTTGATGATGTAACCAGCTGGAGTCAAAACAGAGGAAGCAGGAAGCGGCGTGACTGAGAGCGTAAGAGAACATAACATATCCGGACCACAGTTTACATGTTTACGTGATGGCGCGCCTGCAGCAGGAGGAGTGCGCACCGCAGCACATGGTGACGCAGCGAGGCTGAGAGCGCAAATGAAGATGGGAAAAAAAAAACATAACTTATCCGGACCTGGTTCGGTTGTGCAAAAATGAACGCCGAACTCTTTACAGGTTTACGTGACGGCGCGTCCTCCGGTTGGTTGCCGAACGACCACACTGCCTGCAGCGGGAGGAGCGCGCGTCGCTGCGCAGCCAGTGCAGGTGAAGTCAGTGCTCCAGCAGGATGCACAAAAGCTCTCTGAGTCTGGACCTCGTTTCTCCTGCGGTCATAGCGCAACACTGTCTCCATGTACAGCGGGGAACCGCTGTGGGAAAGGCTGACAGTCAGACTGTCTTTCCCCAAAAAAAAATAGCATAAACGGGATGATTTTCACCCCTCCGGAGCACGCACAGATTAAACACGTAGAGTGCAGAAAAAGTAATCTACAAAGTCTGTAGAAAGGAATAAATACAAGCAATTTGTTTTACTACCTTAAAACGAAGCAGGTGATTACAAACACATCCAATGGATGCAGATATCTATTACATTAAAGTTATTGTATGAGTGTGTGTGATATATATATACTGTATGTATGTACACTCACCGGCCACTTTATTAGGTACACCT